GATAGGACTGTGTTTAGCTGCGAACCCCGCTGCTACTTCCTCACTACGACATAGTTTCAGATCTCTTTCATCGGTTTGTCTCCAGAGAGGTGAAGAATAATAGATGTGGATTCGATTTGAACGAGGACCACGCGATGACTTCACACACGTACGCAGTCACTCTTCATCCGAATAAAACAGTTACATACCGCTTTCTTGCTTTCGGTACACGCCAACAGTGATCGGTGTGCCTGATCCTTGAGTAAGATCGTGTGCATGAGGCCAACCTCGTTCTATGCACGATAGAGAAGCGTATGAGAGTGGAGGAGGTATTTTGTTAGGTCACACCTAGTGACTTGATCACGGTGGATGTCGTTGGTCCCCTGTGGTCCAAAGGTTTTAACCACAGACTCGAAAGGTACTGGACACATGGAATGCACACTACGGATGAATCGCGGAAGAACGAAACAGCCACCTGGTCCCTTTCCGGAGGTGCAGTAACAGTTTGACTGAGTGCAGCAATGACGATTCCCTCTAGTCATCGATGTCGTTTGACCACCTGCGGCGAAAAGATGAAGTTGTGGGTTAGATACACCCTGGTGTAACTGGCCCAAAGGGAGTTTGCACCTCCACAAGGAAATTGGTTGCGTTGGACTGGACGGTATCGGGTTTCTTGAAAACTTGCCCAACATATTTTACTAGAAGATCACCCCATCATATTTTCTCAGCCATACTGGTTCTGTGACTGCTCCCTATTAGAGTGGTTTGGATATACAACGATGGGGATACACCACAGGAGAGAGCATTAACGTTCGGTTCGTGACGGCTAACTCTGTGCACGATACCGTACCCAGTGTTGTTCGGAGTTTCCAGCCACTACACTAACCTCTGCTATTCTGAATGGCGGCACGTTAAACAAACCTAGGCGTCCGGGATCACCCGTAGTGGTTATTCCGGCAGAATAGGAACTAGCAAAATGGCAACAAAAATTGTATACACCATTCCAAAGGGGAAAATCAGAATGCTTAGTTTGCGAGATGACGTCGCCATTTCGTGCATTGTCATCAATCACAAACATGCAACAGTGATATAGAAACAAAAGTAGTGTCAAATGAGATCGTAGACTTCTAAGCGCCTGTGCTATCATTGTTGGCTTAGGACCACGGCCATATGTTTTCGGACGCACAGCGATAGACGTTTGCGAACGATAATGTACATCTCCAGTAGCCTAAGAACGTGGGGCCGCTGGTTGCGCATTAGAGCTGTGAACGACCCATGAGGGTTGACTCGGTGACTGAC